ACCATCAGCCTGACCATCATCATCTTGACCAGCATCATCTTCATGATCACCTTGACCATCATCACCCTCTTCATCATCACATCACTCTTGAAACAAAGCACAATTCTCACATACATAATTGACAATGAATAATATATCTATCTACTAACATATGTTATAGTATTGTGTGGCAGCCAACCCTGCTCAAGATGGGGGGTTCGCGCATGGGCAAGGAGCCCAACAAGGCCAACAAGGCCAAGGAACCCAAGGAACCCAAGAAGCCCAAGGCGGCAAAGACAAAGGCCAGCAAGCCCAAGGAGCCCAAGAGACCACAGCCAGGCAGCAGCAGAACAGGTCAGCAAGGCTTTTGGAGTCAGATGGCAGCAGAGGCAGCAGAGGCACCAGCTGCAGAGGCAGCAGAGGCAGCAAAGGCTGCAGAGGCAGCAGAGGCTGCAGAGGCAGCAGAGGCAGCAAAGGCTTCAGCAGAGGCTGCAGCTGCAGAGGCAGCAGAGGCTGCAGAGGCAGCAGAGGCTGCAGAGGCAGCAGAGGCTGCAAAGGCAGCAGAGGCAGCAGAGGCAGAGCCAAGACAGTCACAGCCAGGGGTTTTGACTGCAGAGACCTTGGAGCCCCAGCCCGAGGTAGAAGCAGAAACAAAGGCAGTGGAACCAGAAGAGCCAGAGGAAGCAATGGTGCCAGTGGAAAAGGACGTGCCCGAGGAAAAAACTTTACCAAAGAAGAACACAAACTTGAACAAGTTCCAGCACGACCTCCTGACCAGCTTGAAGAAAGCAAAGGATAAGGTGGCTTCTTTGCCTGGGGGAGAAGAAGCCTTAGGGGCTTTGGAAGAGCTGGGAAGCATCATAGTGCAGGGACCAAAAAGGAAGGCTATGGAGTTTCCTCCTGAAGGCAGATACTCCTTCAGGTCTGAGGGCGCTGGTAACAAGCAGCTTGGGGCACAGATGCGACAGAAGAGGTTGGAGAAAGCAGCCAAAGCAGAGAAGGCAGAGAAGGCAGAGGAGGGCGAAGTTCGAGAGGAGAAACCCAGACAGAAAAAAAGGAAAAGAAAATGCCCATACAGCAAAGTCATCCAGGTCAAGGATGAGGAGGACGTGGAGCCCTTGAGCAATGCCTACTGAAGGTTGCCATGGAGCCTTCAAAGCTTCAGTTGTGGCAATGGCTTCAACCAAAGCCTGGAGCAGACCTTGCCATCAAGTCTTCAAAGCTGGAGTTTTGGCCATGGCTTTCCCAAAGCCTGGAGCGGGTGACCTTGCCATCGAGTCTTCAAAGCTTGAGTTGTGCCTCTCTCCTGGCCAATGTGCCTGACAAGTATATTTTTTTTAAATGAAATATCGAAATAATATAATGTTTTGAAAAAATAAGATATTTTTTATGAAAGCTTTGAAATATGTATATATATCTATATGATGTTGTAAAATTGTGTTTAGAAGTTGTGTTGGTGTTTGTTGGGGGTGAAGGTCTGTAGGTGTTTAGGTTGAAGGTTTCTGGTGGGCGGTCTTTGTTTTGGAGGTTTGTGATGGGGGGTTTTTAGGTTGGAGGTCTCTGGTGGTGGGTCTTTGCCTTGGAGGTTTGTTGTGGGAGGTGTTCAGGTTGGAGGTCTCTGGTGGTGGGTCTTTGTCTTGGAGGTTTGTTGTGGGAGATTTTCAGGTTGGAGGTCTCTGGTGGTGGGTCTTTGTCTTGGAGGTTTGTTGTGGGAGGTTTTCAGGTTGGAGGTCTCTTGTGGCGGGTATTTGTCTTGGAGGTTTGTTGTGGGAAATTTTCAGGTTGGAGGTCTCTGGTGGTGGGTCTTTGTCTTGGAGGTCTTTTGTGGGAGGTTTTTAGGTTGGAGGCCTTTGGTGGGTGGTCTTTGTTTTGGAGGGTTGTGGTTAGAGGAATTTAAGGTTGGAAAATTGTGCAGGAAAATATACTATTAAGAAAAATATCTTGTAAGATAAAATGATATTTTATATTTATATATATATATAATTAATTTATATTATAATATTTATAAAACATATTCTTAAATAAAAAATATTATTATTATTATAAAATCTTTATATATATATATATAGATAAATATTGGTTGAGAAAAACGCATTTAAATTCTTATCTTTAAATTTATATGGATTATTTTCTGAAGATATTATGCGTAATAAAGAAGATTGAAAAATACTTTGGATTTATATTGTTATATTAAAGCAAAATGGTTCTTAAATACAAAATTTATTGAAATTATATAAATATACTTGTAAAATAAGTTTTAATAAAATTATATTAATATATTAATATTATTTTCTAAATAAAGAAACATGTATACAAAAAAATAAAATTATAGAACAATGTTTGCAAACAATATTTTTAATTTCATTTGAAAAGTTCAAGATATTTGAAAGAAAAATATTCATTGAAAAAATATATATATATTTATACATTATAA